GCAAACCTATGCTTCAGGTTGCAACGCCACTCCTCAGATTTGGCCTGGCTGCCCCGTACACTCATGACAACAAGTTGGATGGGCCAAACCAGACCAGGGAGCCAGGACCAGCCCCACAAGAGCTGCTACTGCAAAGTAAGTCCTCTCCAGCCCCATTTTATTTAATTGTGTTATTTCACATTTGTGAAGAATGCAGAGCTCTACCTTCCTGTCTACAGAATCTGATAACACAAAATTAAGAAAGCACCTTTCCCCTTCTGGCCTGTGCAGAGCTCAGTTCAATTGCAATCCAGAACTGGCACACAGGTTTCCCATGTATGTCTCTGACATGGCAACACCCAGCACTACTACTAGCTCCATGAGGCAGCATAAAAACAAATAAATTCCTTTAAATAAAAGTCTTGTTTTCAAACAACTATTTCAAAACAAACAAGTCATCTATTAATCCAAGCTAGACTCCTCTTTCTAAAATGGATGCAACCTTTATCAGTGACAACTAGATATTATACATGATTGTTATTTTATGTTTCCAGCATTGTATTCTTTGTGGATAAGAACTGATATTGTTTTATTGTTTTTGGAGCATGCAAAGTGAAAAATTCAGAAAAACAACTATCATTGTTTTCTTGAGACAACTTTCCCAAGTGTTTCTTTGTTAGATTAGTATGACCATCAGAGAAATTCAGAGTAAAATTAGAGGACTGAAGTAGTGTTCTGTGTACATAAGTTTAAGAATCTGAACTTGAAAATTTCTTTATTTTCATTAACTGTAAAAAACCCTGAGAAACTATATTTTAAACATGATAAATTAAAGCTAACCCAATATAGTTATTGACAATTAAGAAATTCAGTGTTGTGAAAAGTCTTACAAAACTATAGTTTGGGGTTGGATCATATTTTGATTTTGTGAATTAATGAAGATGGCTTTATTACTACAGATGATCTAGAAAGACAAAATATTTGACTTAAGTAATTATTTTTATCTGAATGGGACACTGAAAGCAATTTTACTTTTTCCATTCTCTTTTTTATTAATTTCTTGGTTAGAAAGTCCATCTCTATAGAAAATTTTGGGACAAAGTTTTGGGATAAAGACTACCTCAATTTTGTTATAATTATGGTTACATGAACAACCTTTACAAAGCCTATATTTATAACAGTCTGCTAATTTGGGGCCTCACCCTGCAAGCACAGACGGGCCAGATCCTGTTACTGGTCCCATTCAGGCACAAGGGTTCACTTATATGGATGCCTCACTGAAGTCACCGGGGCAGGGCAAGTGTGCAGGGGTTCACTTGTATGGATCCAGTTGTGCAATGCAAGTTTACTCACAGTAGTATTACTAAAGTAAATTATAAACCAGTTTATGAATAAACCTCCGTGTACTTTTTATAAGGACATGGAAGGAATTCTAAAATAAACAAATAAAAATCATAGAATGCTGCCAGCTGAAGTCTCATCCCAGAGTAAGAACATGAATGCAATACTATAATGATACAGTGCCAAAACAAGAACTGTGGAATAAAACTGTATTAAGAATAATCACTAAAAGATCTGATTTATATTAGTAATTACAAGATTATCAATCAATTTTTTTCCTTTTAAAAATAAGTTCCTTAAGCAGTCTTTCTTGTTTAATTTACTTTCTTTTTCTGCTTTCCAAAATGTATTTCAAAGGCCTGAACCCTGCAATTAAAACCAGGTGGGTGAATTTCTGCAAGCACTCATAAGGAGCCCTACTGAATCATAACAGATGCAAACACACTTTGGCCTTGTCTACACTGGCAGTGGGTAGAGCATAGTATACTTGCAGCAATACGCTGCAGCTAAATGCAGTCTGCATCCATACTGTGATTTGTAGCTACACATGACAATAAAAGGCTCTAGCAGTGGGGAATATTACAGCAGTGGGGAGGCAGCAGAAGGAAATGCTGCTACAAAATACCAGTGTGGATGGAGGAGTCACTTCTTTGATGCATAGAAAGCCATATAGGGAATACAGCCTAAGGTTCTGGCATGTCTGTACTCTACTTGCCAAAACAGCGTCAAATCATCTACACTTTATACTCATGCCAGAGGGGGTGGGGGAGACATGCAGTGTATGCACTTTATACACCACCATGCGGTGCAGTGTAGACATACCCTTTGAGTCCCAAAAGTGGTACTACAATAACTGAAAATATTTTTATCTGGATATTATTAGATAAGCACCATCTGGAACAGGGGAGGGCATCTGGTCATGGAAATAATTTCCCCTATTGTACTTCAGATTCATCTACCTGCACATGATGTAAATTCAAATTACATGCTCATTAAGAGAAGGCCTGTCTGTTTCCAGGGAAATGAACCAGAAGTTCAGTCGCTGCAGGCCATGGCCAGATATACCCGTTTGTCAACTTAGTCTTAGCGTTATTTTTCTCTTTGATATATAACAAGGATTTCTGAATAACAGCATTTCTAAAATTCCTGACAACAAAATACAAGTTCAGTGTTTTTCTTCCTAAGTGTAGTTTATTACTAACAGGAACATACTACTAAATTGAGTTAATCAAATTACTATCCTACAGGTGAAAAAGAATCAAGACCTGCTTAATATACATAATGTAATTTTATCGTTTGTAAGCACTGTATACTGTTTGTATTTACATACATTTTTGGTGTCAATCCCAGAACAAAATATACAGTACGATTCATAAACCTGGAAATATACATTTTATTATATGTATTTAGGTAATCAAAGCTGATCTAGGAATATGTCTAATGAAATGTATAATAATACTTTTTTGTTTAAAATCTCAGTCTATGTAAAAATAAAGAACAATATTGCATATATTCCCCAAATAATCTTGCATTCATCCAAGGGATCCAAATGACTGTTTATGTACATGATAAACTTCAAAAACAACAAAATGGACTGGTAGCACTTTATAGACTAACAAAATATGTAGATGGTATCATGGGCTTTCGTGGGCATAGCCCACTTCTTCAGAAGACCAGAGGATGTGCAGACCCAAAATAAATAGGGAAGGGGGGAGGAAGGAAAAAAAGGAGGGAGGGCAGGAAACAAGGAGCAGAGGGTATGGAAATATCAAAGGAAATATCAAATAGCAATGTACAATATACACTCTTGCATAAATAATACTAAAAGCTCATATTAATTAATGAATATGTCAACACCTGGAGCATGAAACAGCAGCTACTGTTCTATAGCAATATAAAACATCTTAATGCAGATTAAAAAATGTTAAGATTACATATTTGTCTGCCAAAGATATTTCAAATACACAGCTGCCTCAGCAAATGCTATGTACAACTGTGACAGTGCAAAGTTTACCGCTACAATATTTTTAGAGCTGATAGCAGAGAATTATAGCAAACAGTAAATAGTCTGCTGAACATATACTATGAACAGTTAGTGGAATACAGGCCATCCTCACTATAAATCCAAGATATGTTCCAAAACACTTGGACTTATAGAGAAAACTTAAAGCGGGGATTTTTCTTCCAGCAGCTAACTTCTATTTGTGTAAATTGGGGTGTGTTTTTGTGCTATTTAAGAATGAGGAATGGGAGGACTTATAACACATCAGTTCCTACAAGCGTCAACGATTTTAGAGCAGAACGGATGCATAATGGGTGACTTATAGCATGACCTGTACTCCTGTACTCCTGTGTATCAAACTGTCTAGACTACTGAAAGAGTAAAGGAAGAAGGGCTAAACTAGCAAAAGCTACCAAATTCTCCATTCCAGTTAAAAATCTCTTAATACCAATAATAATAAATATTCAACAAATGGTCTGGTAGCACTTTATAGACTAAGAAAACATGTAGATGGTATAATGACCTTGTATGGGCACAGCCCACTTCTTCAGATGACCAGAGTTATGAGTCGGGGATATGAAAAAAAAAATATTCAGAACACTTGGTACTTATAATGCATTAAACATGAGCTGGTTAAACATAATATATAGATTTAATGACATACATTAGTACTCTAGGGGTGCGTCTAGAATGGCAAGATTTTGCACAAAAGCATTCGCTTTTGCACAAAAACTTGCCAGCTGTCTACACTGGCTGCTTGAATTTGCGCAAGAGCACTGACTTTGTAATGTACAAAATCAGTGCTTCTTGTGCAAATACTCCGACGCTCCCGCTCGGGGATAAGCCCTCTTGTGCAACTGTTCTTGCGCAAGAGGCCAGTGTAGACCGGCAACATCAATTTCTTGTGCAAGAAAACCCAATGTTTAAAATGGCCGTCGGAGCTTTCTTGTCCATGGATGCTTTTGTGCAAAAGCACTTTTTGCACAAAAGCATCCTTGCCAATCTAGACACTCTTTTGCGGAAATACTTTTAACGGAAAAACTTTTCCGTTAAAAGTATTTCCGCAAAATCATGCCAGTCTAGATGTAGTCCTTAGTAGTATGTAACTTTTCTGGATAGCTAAATTCAGAACATTCTAAACATTTTTAAAGATGGTAAGAGCAACAGTTTTACGAACAACATTCCTCAAAGTCATAAACCATCTTTTCTTTCTTAAAGGCATTGGATCACGACAAAACAGTGTTTTTACAATCACATCAAAAAAATCCCAAATCCAGCACTCGATCCAGATATTTTCACCCTGTGCTAGGATTTTAATGACTAGCACAGGGAAGTTCCACACAGATTTTTCCAACTTTCTCGAGAGGTGTCACTTGTCTGCTTAAACCCACGGGCTTATCTGCTTCCTATTGAAACATACTATAACTACAGAAGCGTGTGGATGACACAAACAAGAACAAAAGGCAAAGGAAACTTTCTTAAACAGCTGATACACCCCCAATTCCTTCCACCCCAACAGCCTGAGCCAGAGCAGGACAATCAGCTGAGAGGCCAATGGGTCCCCTCCCCTTTCCCGACAACCCTTCCACTGGAGTGGGGCGCAAGGGCTGGGAAGTGCCCCCCGGGGACAGCAAGGATGCAAACCGGCCGATGGCCTCTCGCCCTCTGGCTCACCCACCTGCTGCAGCGTGTCCGCAGGGAGCTGCGATGCCCGGAACAAGTCGCCCACTTTGCTGCCCCCGGCGGCGGGAGCTGGCGCCGAGCCGCCCTCGGGCGCCGGCGGGCAGCAGCAGAGCGAGAAGAGCTCGGAGTAGCGCTGCTGCTCGGTGTCGCTGAGGGGCACAAGCAGCCCCGCTCCCCCCGCGGCTCCCTGCTCCATGGGGCGGGGGCTGCGGTGCCGCGCTGCAGCCGGTGTGCGGCCGCTGCGGGGAGCGAGGGGGCGGCGCTGCAAAGGGGGAAGGTGCCGTCCCCCTACCCCCGCCTCCCCGGCGGTGCTGCGCAGCCAGCAGCACCTTCCCCCTCCCCGCCTGCTGCTGCCTGCCCGCAGCCCCCGCACGAGCAGAGCGGGACGTGCCCGGAGCCCGCACTGTGGCCCGGTCCGCGGGAGCACAAGGCTAGGGGGCGCCGGAATGCAGCAGCCGAGCGGGGCAGGGCTGAGGAGAGGGGGCAGGGCTGCCCCCGCCGCTGCTGGGAGGGAGGCACAGAGAGAGGCGAGCCCGGAGGCAAAAGCTCTGCCGGCCTGGACAGGTTTGGGGCGCTCTGCACAAGCCCTTCCGGTCCCTCGGGCAAGCCTGGGGCCAGGGAAGGGATCCCGGCTCAGAGCTGCAGGGGCTGCCCCCTTGCGTGTGTGATGCAGGCAGTAAACCTAGGCCAGTTCCCAAACCCTTACACTCTAACCCTATGTCCTGAGAGACTCCGCTTGCGTTGTCTTCGTGACTGAGAGCTCGACTGGCTACCTGTGGGGGCTGACATGGCTCCCCTGCATGCAGTGGCTGTAGGTCTGGTGGGCTTCGATGTGTTTTTCCCCTCAAACCCCTGTGGGGAAGACAAGGGCTGTTGTCAGGCACAAAGGAGCCCAGGTAACAGAGGAAGTTCGTGGCAAAGCAGGGAAGTGAACACAGGTCTCCCACAGTATCACCTTAACCACAAGATTATCCTTCCTCCTTTTCTGAGGAACTGAAAAGCTACACGTCCTGTCGGCTTCACGGAAAGGTGGGGATGTACAGCATTGTAGCAAACTGGGCTAAGTTTTATTTGGGGATTAGAGAGGTATTGTTTTCTTAAAGGCAGAGGTGGCATTGTGAATTGAGTTCTGTTGTAGTTATAGTTCTGCAGCAAACCATTTTGAATTCCATTCAAAGCGTTAATCTACTGAATACTTTTCCCCACTGGCCTTCCCTCCACCAAAATAAACCCCAAGGACACAAAAAAATTACTTAATTTACTGATAGTACTTTCCACTGATTTTAACCTGGTTCTGTTGTGGTAATAAATACCAATACATTCCAGCAAACAAATAAATAAAAACTGGAAATGAAAGGCCCTAATTATGCAGAATAATGTGAATTGATCAGTAATGGCGGCTCATGTAAACAAATGTTTTAACACAGCCAAATGCCAGGTCAGAAATTCAGGAACAAAGAATGTAAGTCATACTTCTAAGGAAAGGAATTGTGTTGTGAGGCAGCAGAAGGGTTGGTGTATATTCCTGGCAGTACCGCTCTGAACTGTTTCTCTGGTGGCGGGAGGCTGCCTCTGTGTTCTAACCCCAGACCCAATTAAACAATCATTCAAAATGTAGCAATGTCTCTGGTTTGCTTGTGAGTTCTTCCCGAAATCCTCTTGGAGGACTTTCCTTTTTCAGTCAGGGTTTATCATTAGTAATAGAGATGTAGCCGTGTTAGTCTGGTCTTGCTGAAACAAAAGACAGGACTATCATTTCTCAGACAGGGTTTATCATTGTTATCCTCTGCAGTTAAAGGGCCTGCAACAGCTTAGCAACGTGGCCTGATTCCAGCCACTTGTGGATTCAGCGGCGGTAACATATTACACAAATTGCCAGTGTCGTATTGTGTCTCAGAGAATGTGAATGAATTCCTTAGGTGCAAATACAAGCAACTATGAAGTAGAAGTAGGAAGGCAATATTCTCTCTTTATATAGCATTATGCAGGACAATGTAGCACTTTAAAGACTAACAAGATGGTTTATTAGATGATGAGCTTTCGTGGGCCAGACCCACTTCCTCAGATCAAATAGTGGAAGAAAATAAGGATCTGAGGAAGTGGGTCTGGCCCACGAAAGCTCATCATCTAATAAACCATCTTGTTAGTCTTTAAAGTGCTACATTGTCCTGCATTTTGCTTCAGCTACCCCAGACTAACACGGCTACATTTCTATCACTATTCTATATAGCATTAGTGAGCCCATTTGGCTCCTTTCTGTGCCTACATTTCAAAACATGTTGAAAAATTGGAAAGGGTTCAGAAAAGAACTAAGAGAATGATTAGAAGTCTGGAAAGTGTGCTGTATAGTCACACTAAATGTGTTCAATCTATTTTATTGAAGAGAAAGTAAAGTGGTGACTTGATCAAGATCTACCAACAATGTTTCTCAAAGTAGTCTGCAAAATCATTTTGAGAAACCTGTTAACTGGCTGCTCTGGTGTGTTTACTTACCAGCGCTGCAGCCAAGAGCCTTGCAGCTCCTATTGGCTCCGTTTGGTCATTTGCAGCAAGGGGAACTGTGGGAAGCGATGTGGGCTGGGCCGCTGCTTCCGGCAGCTCCCATTGGCTGACAATAAGAGCTGCCAGGCTCCTTGGCCACAGCATCGCTAAGGAAACAGGGTAACAGCAG